CAAGCCTTCAGTTGACTGGGACCTCCCCAGTATCACCATCTAATAGCTCTTGCTGGACAGCCAGTTAAAAGAGCACAAACCCACAACCTAGAAATAATAAAACATTGAAGGAATTATATTTTCAGCTGTTCTTTTTAAGATGCATAACTTAATATTTTGCATATCAAAACTGCAGTAATTTTCAATGAGACAGATTTCTGAAAATCACTTGTTGATCCAACTTCAGCTCATGCCTTTTCCATCTGAACTTGAGCCCACTCCAACTCCTACCAGCTTCAAGGCAATCACATAAAGTGTTACCACAGACAAGATTTAGCCAAATTAACCAGTGAAATTTACCACTCTCTTTCAGCTCTAGAGAGCCAAATGAATTTACATTCACCAAAACACAAGGGATCTTTCTTAACAGATAAGCTGAATGGAGAGAGGTCTTTCAAGGGTGGTAGGAGCCTTTCAGTGTTTGGTTGTATAGCAGCAATCCACACCAACGTGCACAGAACACAGCTTAAAACTCTGTATTCATTTCTAAAGTGATCACAGCTATTTTTCATTATAAGATGATTAGTATCTTTTTTCTAAGCAACTGTTTCGCCATTTGAAATTGCAAGCTGCTTGCAGTTTTGAAGTAATTTTGATGGATTCTTTCCATTGTTCATCATCCATCAAACCTTGTGTAAAATTCCCCACAAAAAGTATCCTATACCTAAAAAAAAAATATTTTTTTTTAAAAAGTATCTCTGTCACTTTGCCTTTCCATGAACAGGATGAGATGCCCGTTGTCCTCCTCAGCTTAACTGTCATTATTTATATGTGTAAATCAAAGCATTGCACTACTGTGTGGTGGTGTTGGAGCTGCAAGGTTTCTGTGGGGCCACCTGCGCAGGTGCTTCTTGGATGAGAGCATACCTTACCATTAGCACCAGCTGTCTTAAAGCCAGTGATCTTTAAAGATGTTTCATTCCTATTGTGGAATTTTGCCTTTTGTAAGAGCTGTTTTAAACAATACAAAAATTGTACAAAATAAAAGCTAACATTGGGAACAAAAGAAAAAAGTTGTCAGATTTACTAGAAAAGGGGCTGTGGATATAAAGATGTTTACCCTCACCTCCAATTCACTTTGGGTCTCATTATAAGCTTAAATTTTTCATACCAAATAGCAATGTTTCATTATAAGTTAATTTAGCCTCTAGAAATGTGTATTATCTAGGTACACACATTAGTAGACAGATGCAAAACAAGTATTCTAACTAATTCCATTGAACTAACAAGTTTCATTAAATGTGCTGACAAAAAATAACTGTGCTCTAAATTGCAGTATGTGAAATAAACTTGAAGCAACTCGGATGTTGACTGGAAAGTAGGTGTCTGTGTACTAGCTATCAAGGAATGGAAACAAACTCTGTCATCAAATACCCAAACACTGCTTTTGGTATTAAAACTGAGTAGACGTGGTGTGTTGGGGTCCATGCAAGGAAACGGACTACAGCACACCATATGATGCTCTGATAGCCAATTTATTACATACAAAGCATGATTTTTATACATTTCCAGCATTCTATGCATGCGTCTATCTGACTCCTAATTGGCTGCATGCACTACCCACCCCGGCTAAGCTAATATATGATTGGTTAAGATTTCTCCGTCTCCAGTCTATTTTGCTGTGTTCAGTGCCTTCTTTACTTCACTGCCAAGTTTCTATTTTCAAGCGCTCAAGGTTGCTTCCTTATCACAGCTGCATGCCTCCCATCACGTGCCCTCACCCAGATTTTTACTATCCTCTTTGTTCCTTGTCCCATTTTGATCAACTGAGGCAGTTACAGTGTTTCTATGGCCCAGGCCTCTACAGTGGTGATTAAAATTACTGGTTACTATATATCTGATGGAAGTGCAACAGAACACATCCTTATACCCTGAACTCTGGAGCTGGATTAGGTTTTTACAGACTTTGAAGTTAAAAAGAAAAAAGCTTTAAGTAGATGTGAACGGCAGTATCAGAGACGATTTTCAAGCTTCCTGCATGCATACCCCATCCACTTCCCACTTTGGTGCTGGGTACGTGGCAGGCCAGAAAGGAGCCACCATTCTCTCCAACCGTGCCCTTGAATGACCAAGAGCCAAGACTTGTGAACCTCGGCCCTGCAGTGCAGACATCACCTCTACCCTTTGATCCCGTCTGAATTGGGCCCTGGAGGCTAAAGGATGTTCCTACAGCACAAGCAATCGAGGTTGGAGCTGCCAGAGGAAGATGTAGCAAAGCAGCCATCAGTGCTCCTTACACTCATGTCTCATAATCAAATTTTTAATAAAAATGAGCAACCTGCAACTTAAAATCCTAGCAGAGAATTGGGAAGAGAGATAAGAGAGGGAGAAGCAGGCTGCTCCCCAAATTGCCCCCAGTTAGGATCCAGGAGCATGGCTTTGGCAAACAGTGTGTTGTTACAACTTGAGGCAGATGGAAATGTGCTTACTTGTCAAAGCTGTTATCCCCCAAGAGGAAAGAAATTATGTTGCCTTGAACACACTGTGGGTAAGAGACATGGAAAGGCCCAGAAATAGAACACAACTAATAATACATACCAGGTTTGGAATATGAAATGAAAGCTGTATTTTGCAAAGAAAGGGGGGGTGGTTTTTTTTAGCAGATAAAAAAGTAGGACATTTTTAGTTCCAATAGTATGAGTACTACAATAGGCACTCGTTGCTTTGAAAAATTACAGATTATCAACAAGATATTCTCTGCGACTGAGGAGTTTACAGCTTCTGGCCTATATAAAATATTGAATAATATGAGACACTGAGCTTTAAAGAGCCTTTGAACCGTAATTACAGCAAAACCAATTCATGAATGTTGGTTTGGGTTTTTTTTTTAATTTTTAGATACTAACTATAGTCTGAGTCTAGCTTTGAAAGAAAAGAAAAAAAGCAGAATTTTCTTCATAAGCCAGTAGTTCCTTCAAGGTCAATTCAATAATGAACTACATTTTTCATTCTAAAGCACATTTCACAATAAAGCTCAAGAAGAAAACTAACTTTCAATTTCGACAATAGCATGTGTTCTAATACTGCTCATTTCTTTCCACTGAAGTGAGCCCACTCTGGTATCATACTTTTGTTCTTTATCTACTGAATCCACACCAGCAGACAACTGCTAATTGCATCTTTTCCATTAAGGCAGAGGACGATACACAAACAGAAAGATGCTTTGCCCTATGGTTGCTAGGATTAAAAATAAAACTTCTATTTTAAAAATGAAAATTTACTTTTACTGAATTCTTTAAGTCTCCACCTTCCGTTAGGAGGGAAAAAAATATTGCAGTTAACATAAAATTGTTGTGATTATTCCATTTTAACATTTATTCTTGCATAGAAAGCCAAATAGCCAGAGACATCCATTGCAGACAAGTCATGGCATCAGCAGCACCCATTATTCCACAGAAACCACATTCAAGTCCAACTGAAAAAGGAAAAATGCTTCCATACAGATTAAATCAATTTTTTAAACCTTTTATGTTTTGCATTTTGAGTCTTTAGAAATGGTGATTCGTTTATTGGGTTTGGTAGCCTCGTCCATCAGTTCCTTCAGCTGTCCAATCTGTTCGTCACGGAAGTCATCAAGTTTTTCTTCTGTGAGCTGGACTCCATACACAGTCTTTCCTCTCAAGTTTTGTTTCTCCTCATTAATTTGTTGCTGTATCAGTGCTGCATAGTTCTAATGAGGAAGGAATGTAAAGGTCACAAAATCAACAAGTACAGGATTCAAGTCTTTTTAAACACGATTTTACCATAATAACATACTTTTACTCAACCTTCTACAACAATCTATTAATCAACACCAAATGACCAAAGAATACACTTTTTATAAGAAAGAAAAGCTATTAAGACATTTCTAGGTCAATTTTCATGTAGCTAGTTTAAAATGCATATCATATATGTACAGATTAATTCTGTCATATTGCTTACTGCTACTGAAAACAAAACAAAATTAAATTACAGATCAAATATATTTCTGTATTTATAACTATTAAAAAACATGTTTTCCATCTAGCAGGATATCAATAGGATCCACTTTGTAAACTGATACATCTGGAAAAGTATTACTCTTGAAGATATGTATTAGAAAAAGCAATCTCTAATTAGACACTGTCATACAGCCTTTCTGCCTAACCACTCTGCATTTCTGGGTACTCAGTAAGGTCATTTGCACTCAGTCCTGGACTGCTCAAAAGGCAGTAGGAATTCAGCAACTGGGAGACTTCTGTCATTCTGCTAGTTTTGGACGAAATTAATTACCAAAATTGAAAGTTTGGGAAGAATAAGAAGGGGTTTCAAGGACAGATACCTCCATATTGCATGCTCATTCGCTGAAGGAAAAAAAAAAAAAAAGGATAACCCCGTTTCTGTACAGAGCAGAACATCAGCAAATTTGCTCTGACATTCTTTCAATCCTATTATAAGAGAACACATTTGGACAATATTTAAATAACAGCATTTATGTTAGTGCCTAGGCTAAATGGTCTATTTGGATTACACCAACATCAGGCTGAGTGACATTGTAAAACAAAACTTTCTCAAAGGCAGAAATGGAAGTGGCCAACAGGTCACACCAGTAATGTGCCCATAGTTTGAAAACTGCTTTCTCACCGCTTCGGAGCAATCTTGGACCATTAGGACTTTTCCAAATTACAATACTTGGGAGTTTTGCAAGGACAGCAGTTCTGCAGATTTCATTTGGCTAGCGGTGCTACCACAGACACCGCTGTGTTCAGGCTCCTGTGCACTCCCCTGCTCCCTCTGCCCAGTCCCTGCTCTGCTGCAAAGTGAACTTGTCGGAAGCCTCACAGCTGCGTACTTGCTGTAGTCAGTGAACCTACTCAGATGCTTAAAAGTTAAGCACACACTTAAACACTGGCCTGGAAGGGAGTCCAAACTTTTGTTTTTCTTAAGAGGAACTTAAAAACAAACTTCACAATTAAGAAGTTAATTTCAAAAAATAGTTCCTATTGGAAAAAATAGGCTTCTCTCTTATTTTCGTAAGGTATCCTTTAAAGTATCCTTAAAATTTCAAGCACAACTCAGGAAACAGTATAAGAAACTGAATTAAAAAAACCCTGTATTCTGAATAAATAATAATGATGACTGTGTTACATGGAAACATCTTTTTTTTTCCCAAATCAAGGATTAATTGCTTGAAAGAGTCCAGCGCAGAGCCACAAAGATGATTGAGGGAGTGGAGCATCTCCCTTACGAGGAGCGGCTGAGGGAGCTGGGTCTCTTTAGCTTGGAGAAGAGGAGACTGAGGGGTGACCTCATTAATGTTTATAAATTTGTAAAGGGCGAGTGTCAGGAGGAAGGAGCCAGGCTCTTCTCAGTGACAGCAAATGACAGGACAAGGGGCAATGGGTGCAAGCTGGAGCACAAGAGGTTCAATCTGAACATGAGGAAAAACTTTTTTACTGTGAGGGTTACAGAGCACTGGACCAGGCTGCCCAGAGAGGTTGTGGAGTCTCCTTCTCTGGAGACATTCAAAACCCGCCTGGATGTGTTCCTGTGTGACCTGGTCTGGGTGATCCTGCTCTGGCAGGGGGGTTGAACTAGATGATCTTTCAAGGTCCCTTCCAACTCCTAAGATTCTGTGATTAAATATTGAGAGTATTCAAAAACACAGGATTTTGCTAATGAGATATGAGCACTATTTTCAGCTGAAAGGAGCCTCATTACTGAATACTGGATTGTTAATCCAACTACCAGCAAAGTTACCAAAGCCACTACTTCAGCTGCATGTCTAATAATTCCAGATAAGTAGATGAGAAGGAAGAATGTTATTCATGAGCATGTGATAAATTTTAAAATGACAACATTCACTAACGTAAATACACTACATTGTTTACAGACCATGTCAGGCCTCACTAAATCAGCAGTTCTGCTGCAAAGCTTAATTCATGGCTATGTAAAGAAAACGGAGAGATAAAACAATCTATGGCAAACAAAAGTAAACTTTTATTAATACAGACTCTGAACTAAACTGATGCCTCATTTCCAATAGAGATCTGTAGTGGTATAACTTTGTGTTAAAGTTACCCAATACATAAAATACCAACAGTCTCATAAAACACCATGGTTCTTCCCCACGACCACCTTTCCCCTTTTTACATTAAATACACATTCAGTAACAGTGACACTACAGTTAATCCGTGCAGTAAACCTACACCACAGTGGTGTTACCTTATGCTACAGATGTTCTATGGTTTAGGAGTAACTAAACATTTTTTTTCTGATGACTGAACAATCAAACAGTAACAACACAAAGGATTATAATGGGTTAAAAAGTCTTCAGCTTTGTGATTTACAGAATTTCCTATGAAGACAGAGGGACAAACGTGATCTCTGAAGCCACCAGCAGACCAGTAACACACCGATGTTACACATCAACTATTCCACCTCATTTTATCTTCCAATTTCTGCAGAGAACAATGCAGTCAGTATTGAATCTGGACTCAAAAAAAGAAGAAATTCTCATTATACCAAACAACAAAATTCACAGTGGATAATTCAGAAACAGTACTGAAAGCAAGCAATATGAAACTCTCTACATCTTACCAAGAGACCTGACTAAATGAGCAAAGCCTGAGAACCGCTCCATGCAATGTCCCACCAGTGCAGCTTCCACAGTGGGAGAAAAGCCCTCCTCACTGCTGATGATCAACCACTGGGAGCTACTGCTGCAGGCATGGGCTAAGGTGCCTAGAAATAACTGAAATCCATGTAAAGATAGGTTACAATTTTATGAACATTGTTGACTAGAATGTCTTCTTTTCCAAAAGTATCAAATTAATTACTGGTAAAGAGCCTGCATTATATGTAATTTTTATTTATTTTTAAATCTAGCATCAAAGCATCACATTTCAGGAAGCATCAGGACTAAAGAATCCAGATCTCAGAAGTGGTGGTCCTCGACATAGCCACAATGCCCAGCCTCCCAGCTGCCCTGCATCCAGACAAAGAGCAAGGGACTGCATTTCCCCATGTCTTCATGCCAGGTGCTCAGCTTTGCAGCACTCCAGTGTGCTCCCATCTGGATACATCACCGCTGGCTCTTTTCCTCCACTCATTTTCTAGCTGAACGAATGTTTTGTACGTGCCAGAAAGCCTCAATAGTTGCAGTTTCACATCGATTTGTAGTATGAACAAAAAAATCAAAATTGGACCCAAAATTGGAGCCCAAAATCAAATGCTGGGCTTTGGTCAGTTCATGACAGAAAATGGAACTTTTTCAACTCATTTTACCAAAAGGCAGTGATGCGCCAAAGAAAATATGTTTCAGCCCTTACAAGAGCACTGGAAATCAATCAACTATAGGGCATATCTTGTTTTGTTTGCCTGAGATGCCAGACGAGGAACAAACAAAGCTTGGGAGATTTAAGTGTTTAACACATTACTGTTCCCTCAGAAATTCATAGTTACTATGTGATCAGTGATTTGTGGAAAGGTACTACATAATTTGCTGGTACATAGTTCTGTAATTTAAGATTCAGCTCCTCTACAGAAAATGCACCATATTTTGCTAACTGCCCATGAACCTTAGTATCCTAAACTCCGGAAGTTCAGTAATAGATTTAAAAGCATAATGAAAAAAGAAGAAAAAAAATACATTGTTCTTACAGCAGTATATCATTGGTCACAAAACACAATGATCACAGTCTCTCTCAGGCAATAAGGAGGAGCACCAGCATGTTTGTGTATGTTCTAGCTTTCATTAGAACTTAGCAGATACAGAATTTAACTATTTCCTAGCATCAGCTTCCCTACCAACAGAACTGAAACAAACCCTTGCCTGGCTTTCCCAAGCCAAGGGAAATTACTTCGCTTCTGCTTTTTTTTTTTTTTGTCATATAACTACATCTTCCAAATACAACAAAACTCTGTTGTCAATCATGACACAAATCCCTGGCAGTTTATTCAAAGGCACCTTATTCCAATTGCGGTTCACATTCTGCTCACAAAACCAGAGACACAAAATGGAATACAAGTGAAAAAAAAAACAAACTAAAACCAAACTACCAGCTGAACGGTAAAAGCATTTGCCCCTTTTATATGACTGCCACCAGAAAGAGGATCCAAATCAGGTCTAAGTCAAGACAACCTTTCCTGACCACTTACCATCAGAAGGTGGCTGATTTATCCAGTATTAAATCCCAGCATGCCGGCCACCTACACCATAGTCACCCTCAGAGTCCCGCTCCTCCCAGTATCCGTTCCAGTCTGAAAGGAGGGTAACAGTCCAAGGTGCAGACTGGACAGGTCCCTGCAACCGCAGGGACACCCCAAAACTCTCCATATGCAGAGAGGCAGATGCCTCACCTGAATGCTCCAATGCACACCTTGGAGATGCCAGTTCTGCCCACAGGTCACACTGACATCTACAGCCAAAGGCTGCAATGAAGGAGGTGAGCAAAGGCGCTTCCAGTCCTAGCCTCTGCTTGTCTTGAGGTACCACTTAAATAATATTCTAATTCACTTTGCATTCACACACAAACCTCTCCTGCTTAAATTAAACATACTGTAAACTCAAGCTCTCAGGGTTGCTGATGGATGGGATACTGGTGGCTATGCTATAGGCTACAGATTTAATTAGCTCTTCTGTCAAATGGTTCATCTATGGTTCATAAGAGCAATTTGGTTATAAATGCTGCTGTTCTGAGATCTGTCTACCACCCTCTGACATAAAGAGCAAGATGCCTTAAACAAGCTAAAAAATCTGCCATTTCTGTTACATTTCAAATTTCAGCCATCCTCGATATTTTCCATTGCTAATAGAAGGGTTCGGTTAAGCAGGAGTTAGGATGTAACATACTAAACAGGTATGTTTTATTCAGAGGTTTGGTATGTATAAAGACACAAACACTTAAAAAATGGACTGAGTAGCTTGTATGACTAGTCATAAGAACGCTAAGTTGAAACTTTAAGAACATAAAGAAAAATCAAAAAGAGTATCAGAAAGAGTACTTTATTTTTTATTAGAGCTGAAACATTACTCACTCTACCTAAAGAAAAAGCACTCTTCTCAAATTACAGGAAAGCACATTTTCATACATTTTTTTAAAAAACTTCAGATTATGTGAGAGAACAAAAATAATTTTTAAAGCAAACTGCATTCTTCCCAGGATAAAATCTCTGTTCTTTCCCTGTGCATCACCACTTCTTGAGCAGGGCAGCTGAGGAATCCCCAGAGGGGACAAAAATCCCAGAAGGGCTAAACCAGAGCTGGTGACTCACAGCCACTGTCCCTGCCCCTCTGCTGAGACAGCCACTATGGTGGCACTTCAGGAAGGGAAAGAAAAGCAGGGACAGGAGAGCAGCACACAGAGAGAGCTCATTTAATCACAAATGTCTAAGTGAAGCTAGGGATGGAGGTTGTCTTATGCCGAGCATCAGAGAGAAAAACTTGTCTTAAAGATGACGTGATGGCTAGATACACTGTCCTCCAGAGATGGGGGCTCATCGCTGTGAAAGCGACTGCGTGTTTTTCTCTCACTGGCTGCAGATGACTGGCTCAAATCAACTTCCTTTCTCTCTTACGGTAAAAGGAAAGTGTCCATTAGCTGTTTTGTCTTGTGGGGTTTTTTAATTACAAAAGGCAACAAAAATACCATTTCTCTGCGAATGAATCTATAATCTCTCTCCTGGAGTTTGTTTCATCTTTGCTGCTGAAGTCAGACTCGGCAACATCCTGAAGTGAAACACATGATGGAAAAAAAATGTAGTTCCTTTTTATTCTGAGAAAACTTTGAATTATGTATATATTTAAATTTCTGGGGATGAAACACAATGTCACCATTTCTAATTACAATGCACAGAGGTAAAGCAGATTTCTCCAGGACAAAGTCACTGGACTGTAAAGAATGGGAACAACCAGAAAACTTCAAAGTTTCCTAAAAGTTAATTTGAAAGGAAAAGTCACAAGAACTTCACAAATATCATGTTTCCCCAGGAGATTCAGGAAGGCTGCCAGAATATGTGATTATCACCTAATTTCAGGCTAGTGATCGCAGGAACACGATGATGCTTATACTGTAACTATACAGAACCGTTACCATATAAGGGGTTGGGTTTGGGGTTTTTGTTGGTTGCTTGCTTGTTCGCAGGGAGGAGAGAATGAAAAATTGTTCACGTAAAACGGAGCCAGGGAATATAATTATGTACTATTTAGTAATCGGCATGGAAAATTATTATTTGATCAGGAAGGTATAAAACGGACTACTTTTTTTTGAACACAATTTACTAATATTGTTAAACTGGAAGAAATGACATTTATTTAGAGGAATGTGAAAAAAGCTCAAGGACTAACTCAGCTTTGTTTATAGCTTAAATAACATGTTATTTTAGTGTCCTTTTTATGTAAGACTTATGAGATCATAATTTGAGGTGCAAGTAGGAAGTCTGTGGCCTGTCAAGGTAAATGCTGTTAAATCCAAAATGGAGCACAACAGCATTACAGTACATCAGAGTGACTCTACTGCCATTTGTGGAAAAACAAGCTGTAATAAATTATTTCTTTCTGGATGCACAATATTTACATCAGGGCCAAAATCTAGTTCACTAAAAGCTCTTTGCATCATCTGATAACAACCATAGTCTTTAAGATCCCTTCCACTTACATTGATAAGCTTCATCTCAGACCTTAAATAAAGTTTGAGCTCGTTCTAGGGAAGAAAAAAGGAAAAAAATGGAACATACTTAAAGGAAAAACAACATTTAAGAAAAAATAAAATGACCGATTAAGTTCTGAAAAGAAAGATCAATCTGAAATGTCGACGCAACAGAAGAAACAGAGCACGAGGAAGAGATGGGAGGTAGAAATGAAAGAGATGGCCATGCCAATGGGTTCCAATGGCTCAACAGGATCCTGCCATGGTTCTCTGCCCCTGGACAGGTTGAATCATTCCTTGTGAGAGCCATCCAAAAAATACAATTTTTATGAAATAATAATAATAATAATGATGATGATGATGATAATGATGATGATGATGATAATAATAATTCCCTGAGGAAGAAATATCAGTATTTGAGAGTCTTCTAAATTGGCACTGGAGACAAGAATACTTGTAAGATAAAGATATTAAAAACCCCATTAGAACTTAATACAGTTAACAATTTAAGAACAAAACATGAAAAATTATTCCCTCTGGAACTTAATCTGTAAAAATTATGATGAAATTACACTATTGCTAATATCAAACTCTAAGACTGCTGTGACTGGACAGCTACAGACTAGAAAAGTTAAACTTCTTTTGAGAGCATTGTTTCATATTTTCATCCAAATCCTAATAAATCCTCAGCAATATGAAAGATGGTTATTTCTTGACTCAGTTTGTATTTTGCTTTGACATTTTATGCTGTGCATGGCAGATCTTTGGCTATTAAAAAAGCTGTCCTGTGCACTTCTGTCTACTGCTGATGTTTTGTCTGGCAAATATGCTACAATCTCACAGAATATTCAAGGCTTTAACGCATGCTGTTATTTTAAAGCAGGACAAGGGAAAAGACTGGAAGCGATAGTATCAGCTCCTTTTTAGGAATTTAACTTCCTCAATGCATCAGTTATACTGTAATATTTCTATCTAAATATTAAGGTAGAAAATCTTGGCAAAGTTATTTTCACTGTAGATAATTCCCAGACAAATATCAACTCTAAGTACAGGCATTTTACCAAAAAAAAAAAACCCCTAAAGACTGTTAGCAACAGAATCATACAACCATAATTAAAGCACACAATGCAAACATCACTTACAGACTCTCATATCAGTTCTTTAAATAGAGGACAAGCATCTTAAATTTGCAGTTATTTCCTTCAGAAATATTACTTCCAGAGTTTCAAGGAAGACAAGTATTACACATCTAGATATTCACAAAATAAATCCTGTTTCCAAGACAACCACATTAGTTTCCAGACTGCTAGATACTAAGAACATGCAAAAGATTACATACCCCAGATGATAACACATGAAAGACTTCCCATGCACGTTCTTCTACTCAATTTATACGCAATGAAGCATTTCAAGTGTACGTACACATCTGAAAGAGACTCGCTACTCTTATTTTTCCATTACTCACATTCCTATATGCTCATTAGAGCCAAAACCTTAAACTAATACAGTAACGAAGAAAACCTCAAGTATAAATAAAAATTTAATCCGCTAATAGGCATATTGCATTGATTTCCCCAACACCACAAATAACCTTTCCTCTGAGGGTGCACTGAATTTTTTACATTAATGGACCCGTAGAAGAATAAAGTGTTTGAACGAATTAAGTGAAAAGTCATGGGCAGTAATTAATAAACAGACCAGAAGGTCATTAGTGTAAAAGTCAGACCCGTCCCTTAGGAAGATCAGTCAGAAACTTTCCCAGTTTGAAGTGAACATACTCTACATTCCACGTTCCAGTATGATACATAGGATACTAATTTAACAAAGCTAATTTGGCAGCAGAAAATACTGAGTCAAAGGCTGATTTTCTTGGCCAGTCTTACCAGGGAAGAGAGACAAGTCCTACCTGGGTGCTTGCGGAGGCATGTAAAACTGACAAGCAAGGAGTCACTCAAGTTTATCTACTCGATTCTTCAACATGGCACATACATTTTGAGGCCTGTTCTTCATAAAGCACTAGACAGGAGACTGGTCATCAATTAAGAAAAGCCTACATACACAGGTGGACTCATATGATTTCAAAAATTAAACAATATTGCCACGGGAAACACAAGTGAATTCTTATAAGGGTGTTACTTAGATAAGTATGATGTTCAGTTTGGCGCTTTTGAAAGTCCTACTCTAGAAACAGCTCAGTATATTTGGTCACAATCTTTTGGTTACAGTTCAGGCCTTCTTGCTTTTAAATAGCAGCAAGGGAGCATCTCTATAAAAATAAACACATACTGATGTAACTGACCTTTTCCTTAAAACAACTAACACCACACTGGTTTGTATTTGTAAACTCACTCTATGGAAAGAAGGCTTATTACTGCAATTAACAGGTACTTCATATACTTATAAGAGGCAAAAAATTACTCAGTGTCTGTGCACATTTTTAAAGTTCTTGTTGCTGCAGCAAAAGATATTAGAAGAGGTTCAAGTTTTAGACCAGACATACACTTTGTATACACATAAACATATCTCTGTCAAATGAAGTTAATAATACAAATTACCTAAAAAGTCTTCCATATCCTCTAAGCAATAGAACAAATCACAGCATTTCATTCTTCTTTAGTTTTATTGCTCTCCAAATTACAAGAGAAAGTTCCTTACTCTGTTTTATCTTTCTAAAATATTGAGATACAAC